AAAATTTGTACATCAAAATGAATAACAGCAGAAGTAAATTTTGACCCACTGAATAAAAAAAATACAAAGACCACACTTACAGTTTTAAAAAACATTAAAGGGGGAGACAGAAGGGAAAACTTTTTTTTTTTTGGTCTTTTTTCATGTCCGGCAATGGATCGCAACCCTCAGTGTTGCGCCCATACCGGACCAGGACCGGCAACAGGATCGCAACCCTCGGTGTTGCTCCCGCACCTCGCTCAGCCAGTGAGCGGGAACCGGTCTGTATGTGGGATCCGAACCCTTGGCGGGAGCACTGCCACACTCCTAAGCGGCTCACTGTAGCAGTGCGCCACTGGGCCGGCCCGGAAAACTCTTATTTACAGGAGGGTACCAACTAATAAACATAGAGGGAATGATATCTACAGGAAACTTTGAGACTAGGTAAATATCCTGTTATTCAGTTTTTCATCCAGTGGTTTAACATCTGTTGGTCATTCTTGTCTGCTATAAACATTCATATACAGATCTTTGTGTGGACATATGTATTCATGTCTGTTGGGTAAATACCAAAAATTAGGATTTCTTGGTCACATTGTTAAGTGTATGTTTAACTTTATAAGAAACTGCAATACATTTTACACACCTCCTGCTCAGAACCAGGATCTTGCTCAGATCTAGAATCATACGTTGCATTTAGTTTTAATCTATTTAGCCTGCTAGGTATATATCCAAGAGAAATTAGGGCTTATATCTGCTAAAAGATTTCACAAGCATGTTCAAAACAGCACTATTTGTTGTAAACCCAAACTGGAATCAACCCAAATGTTCACCAACGATAGGATGGATAAAGAAATTCTGATATATTTATAACAATGAAATATTATATAGCAATGAAAAAAGAACTAATACTACCTATAATAATATGGACAAATCTCACAGTGTGGAACAAAAGTAGCCAGACACAAAAAATACATACTGATGATTCTATTTATGTAAAGTTCAATAAAAGGCAAAACTAGAATGTAGTGAATGAAGTCAGAAGAGTAACTGGGAGGGACACATGAGAAGTATCTGAAGGTGGCTGGTTAGCTCAGTTGGTTAGAGCACAGTGTTTTAACACCAAGGCCATGGGTTTGGATTCCTGTACTAGCCAGCCATTAAGAAAAATAACAACTTGAAAAAAGAGAGAGAGAGAGAGAGGTATCTGAAATACGATAATCTTTATCTGTATCTTGAAGTGATGTTGACTTGAATATGCTCACTTTTTCTTTGCAAAAATTTATCAAGCTGTACACTGATGATGAATGCACCTTTCTGTATGTTTGCTTTATTACAATAAAAATAAAGAATAAGGGGCCAGCCCGGTGGCGCACTGGATAAGTGCGCTGCTTGGGAAGCGTGGCGGCGCTCCCGCCCGAGGGTTCGGATCCCACATGCAGACCGGTTCCCGCTCACTGGCTGAGCGAGGCGCGGGAGCAACGCC